GAATACTAAGAAAGTTGATGTCTAACTTTAAAAAATAAAGGAGGGAGAGGGTAGAGAATGATGTCCCGGGTCGCTAAAGACCCGAGGTATGCATTTAAGGGTTAAATATTTCGATTTAATAGGCTATTTATTTTCAAACATGCCCTAGTGTTGAAAGTGTTTCGGTCAAACTTTACATTAGGGCTTCATTAGTTAACATAAACTGCCAATGAAAAATTCTTCTAAACATTCATTAATCTTAGGTAATTCCAATATTTAATAACACATTGTTAAAATCAAAAGTTGCAACAGTGTTATTTAATGAGCTAACATGAACTAAGAGTTGCATTTTTTTTAACAAAGATGAATAACTTCTGTAGTAAATGCAGCTATTGCTCATTGTGAATGTTAATGCATTAACTAATTTAAATGTTTCTAAATTATGTAAATGTTCAGTTATTGTTGTTATAAGAAAATAGTTATTAAACTTGTTATACTGGACTATGACAACACTTTTTTGCAACTAAATTCCAATACCATGATAATACCGTATACCGTGATAAAAGCATGATCAATTAATCGCAACATGAAAATTTGATAGCGGCATATCCCTAGTCTGTACTTTCTTCTGCACTGGAAGCTCCTGACTTCAAGTCAAATTCCTTGTGTGTGTAAACATACTTGGTAATAAAGCTCTTCTGATTCTGATTTATAGAATATATAGTATGGATTATGGAGCAGTGAGGTTTCTAAGGGACTCTAAGGGAAATGCAGGAAGATGGCGAGTTGAAGAAAAGCTAATCAATTAACATCATAAAAATGCTAAATTAAAATAATGTAAAAATAATAGTGAAAATAAAATCAATAAAATTCAGCAAAATAAAATGCTTACTAAAAAGTTATAAAGTCATAAGATGTGCAACAAAAATAAATTTAAGAATAATAAATGCCAAACATAATTTAAATAAAATGCTTGATAAAGGTTTTTAAAAATCATAAAACTGTAGAATTAAAAAAGATAATTTTAAAATAAAACACTACAAAATAATAAAAATATACAATTAAGAAAAATCATTAAAAATAAATAAATAAATAAACTCATACTATCTGAATACATGAAATAAACCATAAAATATTAAAAGTAATTATTTAAAATAATAATAAAAACAATCTGCTTGGTAAAAACTTGTCAAACGATTAATCGCAATTAAATCGCATCCAAAATAAAAGTTTTTGTTTATATATCTGTGTGTACTGTGTATATTTATTATGTATATATAAATACACTTACATACAGTAAATATTTACATGTATTTACATGCAAATATTTATATTCTTATATTATATATAAATATATTTAACATTAACATAACATATTTTTCATGAATATATACATGCATGTGTTTGTATTTATATATACATAATAAATATACGCAGTATACACATATATTATGTAAACAAAAACTTGTATTTTGGATGCGATTAATCGTTTGATAGCATTAGTAAAAATGCATAAAATCATAAAAAATACAATTAAAATAAATGATAAAACATCAAAATAAATTAAATTAAATAATTAAATTAATGAAATCAAAAATATAAAATTTCTTAATACAAGTAAAAAAAAAAAATCATACAATTGTACAAAGATAAATCATTTTAAAATAAAACACTACAAAAATAACCATTAAAAATATACAATTAAAATAATTTAAAATACAAATCTAAATAATTTGTAGCTCTAACATTTTCTATTCTACTATAATTCTACTTTATCTATATTTATCTTTTTAATTTTTTGTTCTTTATTTAAAAAAAACAACAACAACAAAAAACAAACACTAGCTTTCTATTTTTTCTATTCTATCTACTTGTTTTTCTTTGTTTGTGTGTGTATGTGTGTGTGTATAATATATATATATATATACACACCTTGCTACATGTACTGCGTTAGGCTAACCGAGACTTGTCATTTGCATTTATATATCGTTGCTCTTTTGTTAGTTTTGATTGCTTTTATTGTCCTCATTTGTAAGTCGCTTTGGATAAAAGTGTCTGCTAAATGACTAAATGTAAATGTAAATAAAACTTACTAAAAACTAATAAAATCATAAAAATGTTCAATTAAAATGAAAACAATTAAAATAAAACCCTTGTTAAAAAAGGTTTTGTTTTTCAAGGTCTAGCACTGTGTGTTCTGTTGTGCTGTGCTATTGATATGAACAATCTCACATTAAAGTCAAAGAGCCTCTTACTTTATTCTGAATATGGCCGTCAACCAGGAACAGAAGCCCTGCAATGAAAACACATCAAACTATGAATGTGTGATGAGCGCAGACACACACACACAGACAAATTACTGCATATATTAATACTTCTGGGTTTTATGGCTTAAACATGTCCGGCCAGGCCTATAAAAGGCTCTCTGTGAGAGTATGTGAGGATGCTGGCTGATTTCTCCAGCAGGATTAGAGGTGAACACAGGTGAAGACAGACAGGAGATGCTGAAGTCCTGCACTGATCTCTTAAGAGGCTGGAAAACAGGCTTAAGATGGCATCCCAAGGGCCGATTTTGGTGGGTGATGTCACCTGTTAAATTTTCCTGCTGAAATCTCATCCTACACATGTTTTTGATGTCACCTGTGAGTGAGGCTAAATCACACATTCCCCTCTAAATTAGTGGTTTACCGATATATTGCCAAGGCCGATATATCGACCAATATTTGGCATTTTTCAACTATTGGTATAGGACAATCAGTTTTTCTCTGTGGTCAATGTGTTGATATTCCCAAGGTCAATAAATCATCTAATATTTGACATTTTCCAATTATCGGCATTGGACAACAAGTTTTTGTGTTTGGCCGATGTGTCGATATTGCTATGTCTAATATATATCGGCCGATATTTGACAGTTTTTAAACTACTAGCCGATCAGTTAGTGTGTTTGGCAGATGTGTTGATATCACCAAGGCCGATATACTGTATGGCATTTTTCAAATATCGGTATTGGACAATCAGTTTTTTTCTGTTTAGCCGATGTGTTGATATTAACAAGTAAGCGTGTAACGATACACGTATTCGTACTGAACCATTCGCTACGAGGCTTTCGGTTCGGTATGCATTACAAGCCGAACTTTTCGTTGGACTAATTCTATTAAATTTGGAAAATAAAATAACTTAAGAGTGTGAAATATAATGTTCTCAGTGCCACTGTGCTCACCAAGGCAGCCTAAACGTCGTAACAGGCAACACAATGTCTGCCCCGCGATAACCTCCCTTTGCTGGGGTGCATTGAAAGACGATGATCTTGTATCGACGATATTGTCAAAAACATCAATTATTGGCAATATTATGAGGATTTGGCATTTCCAATTAAATTTAGGCCTGTTACATTCTTATTTTATTAGGCCTATTATTAAGAAGAAGTTACTTTTATAATTAAATCAAGATTATACAATTAATTTGCCCCGAAATAATTAGCCAACCACATAACTGACGCACTGCAAGGATTACAAAAGATTAGGCTATTTACTCCTCGATTAAAATGTTTTTAAAAAAGTAAAACAGGTATATTATACAATGAATTATAGGTCTATAATTAAAATATTAACACTGCAGTCATCAATAAAAATCAATGAAATAAAACGTTTTATTTCAAGCACCGACTTTCAAAAACAACCTGTTTAACACGAAATACATTTCTTATTTTTTTTCCACAATGTACGGGCCACAAGAGAAATATTAAGGGAATAAATGAAAAGTTAGCTATATACCGTTATCAGCATATGTTGAAGTAGATTCGTCTCTCGTCGTCTCTGAGAGAATATGCGGCATCAGATGCTGAAAGCTCCGTCATTACTCCGTCATTCCGTTTTTACTTTCACTTTCTGCATATAGTGAATTGACTGAGATTAAGACGTTCAACCAGCATAACTCTTGCGCAAAGTTTGCATGTTGCTTGTGTGATATCCACTGGCTCACCTTCATGGTTTAAAACATAAATATTTCCAACATTGCAACGTAACCAATTACCCCCCCACCCGTATCGAAAACGTACCGAACCGTGACACCAGTGGTATCGAACTGTGAATTCTGTGAACCATAACACCTCTATACAAGGCCGATATATCAGCCATTATCTGGCATTTTCTAAACTATCGGCCAATCAGTTTTTCTGTTTTGTCAATGCATCAATATCAACATCGCTGTATGGCCGATGTGTTGAAATTGCCATTTTTTAAATGTGCATAAGCCAATACGTTTTTGTGTTCAGCAGATGTGTCGATACCACCAAGGCCGATATTATCAGCGGATATTTGACATTTTTTAAATGTTGGACAATCTGTTTTTTTGTTTGGCCGATGTGTCGATATTGCCATGGCCAATATTTGGCATTTTTTTCAGCTATTGGCCAGTCAGTTTTTCTGTCAATATCAACATTGCTGTATGGCCGATGTGTCAATATATTATTGTAATTAACAATTAAAAGCAGTAAGTAAAACAAAAGTATTATAAAAGTAATTTTAATTGAATACATTTTAATGTACAGCATTATAGTTGGATTATATATGATGCAACATTTACTTTTAGCCTGCAAGCTTCAATCAAATGTAATTTTTGGCCCTTTGTATTAAAAAATTTGGGCACTACAGTTTTTTTTTTTTTTTTTAATCATTCAAATAATTTTGACATTTATTTAGTTTTAAATTACTCCGTCATTCCGTTTTTACTTTCACTTTCTGCATATAGTGAATTGACTGAGATTAAGACGTTCAACCAGCATAACTCTTGCGCAAAGTTTGCATGTTGCTTGTGTGATATCCACTGGCTCACCTTCATGGTTTAAAACATAAATATTTCCAACATTGCAACGTAACCAATTACCCCCCCACCCGTATCGAAAACGTACCGAACCGTGACACCAGTGGTATCGAACTGTGAATTCTGTGAACCATAACACCTCTATACAAGGCCGATATATCAGCCATTATCTGGCATTTTCTAAACTATCGGCCAATCAGTTTTTCTGTTTTGTCAATGCATCAATATCAACATCGCTGTATGGCCGATGTGTTGAAATTGCCATTTTTTAAATGTGCATAAGCCAATACGTTTTTGTGTTCAGCAGATGTGTCGATACCACCAAGGCCGATATTATCAGCGGATATTTGACATTTTTTAAATGTTGGACAATCTGTTTTTTTATTTGGCCGATGTGTCGATATTGCCATGGCCAATATTTGGCATTTTTTTCAGCTATTGGCCAGTCAGTTTTTCTGTCAATATCAACATTGCTGTATGGCCGATGTGTCAATATATTATTGTAATTAACAATTAAAAGCAGTAAGTAAAACAAAAGTATTATAAAAGTAATTTTAATTTAATACATTTTAATGTACAGCATTATAGTTGGATTATATATGATGCAACATTTACTTTTAGCCTGCAAGCTTCAATCAAATGTAATTTTTGGCCCTTTGTATTAAAAAAATTTGGGCACTACAGTTTCTTTTTTTTTTTTTAATCATTCAAATAATTTTGACATTTATTTAGTTTTAAATTAGGTGAATATATAAATATGTAAATAAATATACATTTAATTTCAGCAGTTATGTTTTTTTTTTTTACAATCTATAAATTAAATATGGTGATATCATATATATCAGCTTTACGCTGACCATTAAAAAAAAAATCTATTTTAGTCACCCACTACTAAATCACTTCAAGGGATCCTGAGGTTTCAGTTTGAGGGAGTTTATTTGGAGGTTTTGTTGAGTCAGTTTCTCTCCTGAAGGCTTCTGGGGACTTTCAAGGACGCCGTCCAAAGAATGGAAATGCAGAAATGCTGGTTCATCATGACTGTGATTTAAAACGAAATGATGAAGGGAGGAAGTTCTTGCCCTCTATAAAAGCCTTTGGTTCTTTCCAAGTGTATATAACGTTGATGTGAGGTCAGTGTTGCATGGAAAAATCAATGGAGTCCATGGGGAGCGAGAGGGGCTGGGAGACACGCTTTGGGAAACGGGTAATAAAGACATTGAGTTTGATCCAAAGTAAAAGTCAAATCGACAACTCGTATTGAAAATAAATTGTTTCACGAAAGGAATTATTTTAACGTCCCTTTAACTTGGCTTTTCTTTCAGATACATGTACTAAAAAAAACTATCTTCTGCTCTTCTGCTCACCAAAGCTGCATTTATTTGATCAAAAATACAGTAAAAACAGGAATATTGTGAAATATTATTATAAATTAAAATAGCCATTTTCTATTTGAATATATAGTAAAATGTAATTTATTTCTGTGATCAAAGCTGTATTTTTAGCATCATTACTCCAGTCTTCAGTGTCACACGATCCTTCAGAAATCATTCTAATATGCTGATTTGCTGCTCAAGTTGCTCAAGCTCATGTTGAAAACAGTTGTGCTGCCCAATATTTTAGTGGAAACCGTGATACATTTTATTTTTTCAGGGTTCTTTGATGAATGGAAAGTTCAAAAGAACAGCATTTATTTGAAATAGAAATCTTTTGTAACATTATAAATGTCTTTACGGTCACTTTCGATCAATTTAGTGCATCCTTGCTGAATAAAACGATTAATTTATGGATGTGTGGATGCAGATGGGAGGAGGGGGCGGGGCCAAAGGAGTGATTGACAGGTGTCTTACATTATCTCGCTGTTCGAAATCTACCGAGCTGGAGACGGAGGTGAGACGTTCATATCGGTCCGGCGTTTCAGAATGAAGGGCTGAAGCCACACTGTACACAAACACAGAGACAGAAAGCAGAAGGAAAAAGAGAAAGAATCAAATGAGAAACACTGGCTCAGGTCTTCTGAAGAGTTCAAGTGGATGTTTTTGGTTATTCTGAAGGCCGAGCAGAGCCGGACAGTCAGAAAGCCTAAACGTTCAGGTCCACTCAGGCAAATATAGCTCAGTCTCATCTCAGGGTAGACGGGATATTAAGTATTTACGGGCTTTGAGGAGCAGAGGATGCATCTGTAATGCACGTTTCCCTCCGTATGCTAAAAGATATGAATCCACAGTTGAGATGAAGCCTAATCTACCAAAACACACAAACACAGATCTACACACCCTGACAGGAAGATGCTCATGCTCCTTAGACTCAGTTTTGAGTGTTTAGAGACTACAAACATCTTAACCATTTAAATCCAAAGTCATTTATGTGCTTCAAAATAAAAATGTAATAAAAATAAAATAAGAAAATCTGATTCAATTAGGCTGATATATACATATTTCCTGTTTTCGTATTATCCAATTATTATAAGACAAAAATAAAATAGGCTTATTAAATTGATTACTCTTTACAAATACATTTTAGCAATGTATGCACTTTAAAATAAAAATGTAAAAATAAACAGCAATTGCTTTAAACCGCAATTAAAGAATCAGATTAAACTATTATACAACCTCACATATTTCCTGATTTCTTAAAAATATACATTTTTATTTAGATAAACTTATCAACACGATTACTCGTTTATGAACACATTTTAGCACCTAAAGTCATTTATTTAAGCATTGCTCACTAGCATTGATGAAAGTTTCATACCGAGCCGTTTTAAAAACTGTACTTGTTGAGGACATTATTTAAGTTCCTAGCTGAAAACCAGCAGGTTTAAAGGGCCAGATCCTCTTTTTCTTTGTGAGAAACGATTCCAGAACAGCACTGACACACTTTGAAAAAGGATCCTGTCAAACGCACTATTACCGTGGTTTCTCTGCTGCAGGTCTGGATGACTGACAGACTCATTAGACTAACAGAATAAGAAGGATCCGTGAGGGACGCAGGAATCATCCTCTCTGAAACACGTGCACTGCAGCGTCTCAAATGCAGCGATAAGAGCAGAGGTTCAATAGGTAACCGGGTCAGAATGAACATTTAACAAATGAGTAAAAATAAATCCCTGAGTTGAGCATTTCCTGACCTCAGCACTGAGTAACACACTGAACCGAGTCCAAGCTCTGTTTCTACACTTGTTTTCATTCGTCAACACATCAGCTGCCAATCAAATCAGATCAATAAGACAGCAGTGTTTGTGCGGCAAAAAACTCTGCTGATGCCATGAACAGACTCCGCTGGTTTAGAGCTAAAGCGAATTAAATTCTATACAGCTTGTGATTTATACTGTATGTATAGGAATAGCGCAGAAGTCACTGGACTACTTTTATATTCTATGTCTGACTACTTCAATGATGCTTTATAGTTGTAGTTTATTTATTTAAATTTTTTGGTCCTTTTTGGGCAGTAAATAACTAAAGATGCAATGTGCAAATAAAATAAATACAAATAAAAAAATTGTATTAAAGCAAAATAAAATTGAATAATAACATCAACAATAATAATAAATTAAACAAAAATATAAATTTTTTATAAAATATTTTTAAAAAATCACTGTATAATATTATACTATACAACATTTCTTACATTTCCTTTTTTATTACATAAATTCTTACATGCACACTAAGAAAAAATAAAATAAAATGGATAAACAGCCTGATAACTCGTTTACTGGTTGACTGGTCATCTTTTGTGACTCATCCCTACTCTGGAACATCATGAGGGTGAATACAATTCTAACAGAATTTTCACTTTTTGGTGAGATATTCCTTTTAAATCCATTTGAAATGGACTAATTCGCTGTTTCGGACTATTAGGGCAACTCTGGGAGAACAAGGGCACCGTCATCTACAGCTAAAATGACCTCAGTGGCTCCGTTGTGGAGATCACATCCACCTACGATCCCCAAATCACTCTACATGAGAAGATACACATTCACAAGGGCAGGATGACTCACAATACTCAGGGGTCTCTTTGGATCCACTTTTGGGGTCACAACGGGTCAGAAAGACACGCTAAAGCTCTTTTACCTGCGTACAGGCTCATAGTTACTCCGTTCCTTCCTCCTACTGTAGTCAAATAACACACGTCACAAAGAGAGACATGAAGGACAGGCGGTTATTGACACTCGTGTGTTAGAGGCCCTTCGGAAAGCCGAATTTACACACATGAGTCAAACATCACACACACACAGCAGAGGAATATTAATATGTGGTGAGCAGTGAGAGAAAACACTCAGGAGAGCAATCACACACAGACATTTAAAGCAACATCTGTTAGATAAAGGTCAAAGGTGAGGAACCCCCACAATTACAAACCATTACACACACACTAGTTTATCAGAAGAAGTGAGAGGTTAGTTCTTCATCGAGCAGAATAAAGCAGAGGAACAATAACTGAACATACTACTCCCGCTCCTCCAGACCACTGAATCTTCTCTTCTGTCTTGGGAAGGAAAGAAAAAAAAAACAAGAGGAAGGAAAAATAAGCTTGAATTCATTCAGATCAATAAATCTCTGAAGACTGCAGCTGTCAGAGCTTCAGCTGTGGAAATAGAGCGGCGTTAGTTGAGAAGTTGAGATACATGATATACTGTATCTGAGAACATATCAGTATCTCCCAATATACTTTAAAGATGACAACATGTGCAATTACAATACTTTATTGCAAAGGAATAAAATAAAATATAAAAATTAAAACAAAATAAACAAATATAAAATCTATAATAAATAAAAAGTAAATATAAATATACAAAATAAAATAAAAACGCATAAAAACTAAAAGGAAAATAAAAAAAATATAACAATTCAAAATAAAATATTAAAAATTTAAAACAAAAATAACATTTTACATAAAATTTCTAAATAAAAAATACACAAATAATATACAATTTAAAAAATATATAAAAATGAAACAAAAATTTTAAATATATTAAAGTGTAAAATAACATTAGATGCAGTGCAGTCAAATCCCAAAATATAATGTGTGCACAGTCAAAAGCTGCAATGCACATACATTTCTGTGATGTTTCAATAAGTCTAGGATACTCATTTAATGCCAACAGCTGCTTAAAGCAGCTCAATTTCACCACATTACAGCTGTGCTTTCACTTCAGCATTGGCGTGTAAATCTGTTCATTATGAACTGTACAGTCACAAGAGCATAAACTGCAGTCTTGTGTTTAATGTACAGTCCACGTGTGAAACACCGAATCAGCGAATTGAAGGGTCTTTCCTCTGGAGTGTGTCGCTGTAATTACAGACGGACGCTGTGCAGTCAGCAGCACGCAGTGGTCCAGAAACACTGTAATCTACAAACCACATCAATATACAAAAGTCAAAGGCATTTTTAAATTGCCTTTGGTCATAGATGATGGAAATGTGAGATTGAGTGAGAGGATGGACGAATGTACACACAGTGGAAGACAGCAAGAAGGCAGCTGGAGAAGTAAAATTGCCCTACAAACCCAGTAGGAAGCTCATCAAAGCTCGATTTCCTGTTTCCACTCTACTACAGGAAGTAGCAAAGCATCGAACAGACTTTTAACAAGAAATCAATTTATACAACAGCCTTCAGAATCACAAATATGCAAATGGTACCCCTCAATAATGCCCCAAAAATCAAGGTAGTACCAGGGTAGGTTACTGGTTAGTGATCACCAGATTAAACTGCAGCTCTTACAAGCTCAGGCTTTATAATGATGCATGTGGCACTTATGTAACCAAGTTAAAAAAAAGGCAATGCCAGCGGCTCAGTCTATTTCCAGCAACCTTAATAAGCAGCAAATAATACATGGTTGATTCAATGGAAATGACATGTGGGAACATTTCTGGCTCCATTCCGCACCAGCGAGGGAAGGGAAAAAAACACTAAACAAAGAAAAGCAAGAGGAGGAAGAGCAGAGTGAAAACGGCAAATATGCTCAGTGATAATGAAATGCACTGTCTCATGAAGCAGAGGGCTTGTGTGAGTGGTTTTTAATTCACTTCCTTCCCTGCCAAATAAATGTCAGCGAATCATGAAGGTTTTTGGGTGTGTTTAGTTGCACCTGGATATTCAAGCTGTGAGACTGGGCGAAAGCACACGTGGGGTGGACGAAGACTATCTATATGAGGCAGAACCTGATTTATAACGATCCAAAACTACTAGCATCATCAAGAGACACTCCTGAAAGTACATCATTTAGAGGATTGTGATTCATTAATTCATTCGGCACACATGAGTCAATTAAATGTTTGGCCATGGCCTGTTTCTACTAAAAGACGTAAATTCTGAAAGCAATGCTCAAACTTAATAAAACTGGGTACATATGAACATCAGGACAATTTGAGGACACGCACCAATTTTCATCCAATTCCGTCCATAGGGGGCGCTATAATTAGGAAATCCTTATGAATCTGCAACTTTGATCAAGGAAGTTCAGTTCTCGGACAACAATTTTTATGTTCTACCAAACTGTGGTCATTTTCTCAACTTTTGCCATTTATTTAGACCCTCAAGATTGCAAAATTTGGCTATAATTTGAGTTGTTGTTGAGCTGTGTTTGTCTTTATTTGGCATAACTAGAGCAATGAGCATGGGTCTGAAAACCAAGGAGGTTACTTTTTTGTAAGACTATCATTTCTCAAAAAACAGACCAAAATGTCATCCCATGAGACACAGAAAGACTATTTCATCAGTAACCAGAGGTAGTGGTCTTTCTGTTTACTCAGATGTGTTCTTAAGACCTGTGGTTAGCAGAAAGTGATGATTAATCTCAGTGATTCTACTCAAACATCAGGTTTGCGGCCATTATTGGCCACTTCTGGCCACCATAGGTGGTACTCTATGAGAGGACTTCATTGATTGGATGATATGATGTCCACTGATGCTGGTCATTTCAGTTCACAGTGTGGAACAGGGATTCTAGGCATTTTCTCCACATCTGCCAAACCCTGTAATTTTTCAGACAATGTACAAGGGTGAAAAAGAGACCATTTCATCCTGGTGTTTTTTGAATCCCGAGTTTTCTTTTGCTTGGCATTTTCCAAGTAAAACACCATACTAGTGATTGACCGATATTGGTTTTTTGACAGCTGATGCCGATATCTTGGAAAGCGGGGAAAGCCGATATAATTTTATGTATTTTAATTAATATTTAAGAAATTTGAAGTCATTTGAAAATTTATAAAAAAAATAAATGTGTTAAATAAACATACTTATACTTTAGATGACAAAGTATTTTCACATATAAATAAATATTTAATAAAAATATAATTAAAAAGGAAGTAATCACTGCAACCAACAGGGCACTCAGTATTCTGGGAAGTTTGTGTGCATTAATCATATTTTTTCAAATAAAGCCAAGGTAACACTCATTTTACATACAGCACACAGTGAAAATGACATGAATATGACAGTGGGAAAATGCATAAAGCGCAGCATAATTTAAAATCACGAGTTTAAAGTTTGTCAATTGCGCATCTCCAGTGAAGCTTAACTCTCCTCCTGTCCGTATTCAATTCGCACGGACCATAGGACCGACCGTCACAGAACACGCGATCATGCAGGATACACATACACACATCACAAGATCTCACAACTGGATCCGACTAAGTTTGCAAGGTTTTTGAAATTGGATGTTTATTAGACATTCAAAGATTTGTTTAAATGATATAAATGCGTATTTGCTGAATGCTGACGGCAAACAAGAAAGAATTACAATGTTTGCCTTTCTATTACTAATAATATAAAAGCAGTCATTATAAGACTTTTTCTATACATTTTAATTCCTTTGTTTAACCGTTCTATCTGATTATTAGAAAAACTTCTATCCGTATTTAGACAGAACTGTTAACGACAACAGCAAACAAGAGGCAGAATGTGAGCACTGTGTGCAAAGGCACTGCCGTTCTCAGCACCGTCAAAATAAAAGTTGACGTACGCCTCGAACACATCGGCCAAACAGGAAAACTTATCGGCCGATGCCGAAATTTAAAAAAATGCCAAATATCGGCATTATATTGGCGATATATTATATATATATATTATAATATATATTATAATTATAATATATTATATATATTATAATATCGGCGATATATTGGTCGACCACTACACCATACACACCTTCTACAAAGAATATAAACAAGAATTGAAGATTGCACACCAATGAAAATTCATTCAATTTGACATCCAAATGACACCCATAAATCAGGCAGGTTTGACAGCGACATGGCCTTACCTGTCAGCATCGGTCACCAGGGCCAGACGGCCGTAATCCCATGCCACTTTCCGCAAAATGGAGAAGACAAAAAGAAGAACCTGAGAGATGGAGATACAGAGACAATCAGCCATGTGATAAAGAGAGAAGTCAAGTTAATACACAAATTCAGTTAAAAGAAATGTGCTCAAGGCCAAATGTTTACAAGCATATTGTGAAATAAATCATTACTGTGACATGAAACTCTCCATCCAATAATGTAAAAAAGTCATACTTCTTAGGTGAAAAAAAACACTCTTGAAAGAACATAATTTAGGGAATTTTTATTTATTAATTCATTCAGCACGCAAACACTAGCCAGTTAAATGTTTGGCCATGGCCTACTTCTACTAATGAATGTATCTTCTGAACACAATGATCAAACTTAAATGACATCTGGTACATAAGAACATCAGGACAATTTAAGGGAACGCACCAACTTTCATCCAATTCCATCCATAGGGGGCGCTATACCTAGAAAATCCTGATTAATCTGCGGTTTTGATCAAGGAAGTTCGGCAATAACTCTGTTCTACCCAACTGTGGTCATCTATTTAGACCCTGATGATGACAACAGTTCCCAGATAGAAGAGGATACATTTTACATTTGAGGATAAATCAAGGCTTAATTGTTCTGCTGATGCGGTTTGGGGCTTTTATTCAGGTTTATATTGACCTGAGCAGAGATGAAGATCTCGTTTGATGTTTACACTGATGTGCAGCTTGCAACTGAAGACATCAGTAAGAAATGTAGGTCAAGAGGGCAGCCTAGGTGCTGAGTTAAGGAAGCTGACAGAGTTAGTAGGTTAAACCAGTGCTGTTACATAGCTCTGACAGCAACTCGCTTCAGCTCTGTCTGCCCCTGTACATTCAAAATGCAAGGTCGCTTGATTTTTCCATATGAAGAGATCATGTAAATACTCTGACCAGACAACCAGGTCAATCCATTGGTGCCAAGGTCAACATTCTGAAATTATGTTCCATTAGTATAGCACAGCACAGCACTGCAGTTTAAATTTTGATCTGTCTGAATAATTTTTTTTTTAATGGCATGATTAATAGATGGATTAAATTGACTGCATGTAGATAGGAAAAGGCTGAGTTTGTCATCTCTTCGCCAGATCATCATGAAATGCCAATTCTCACCACTAGATGTATAACATAGATGTACATTTTAATAATCATTTTGCTGTGCTTGGGCATTTTACAGCTAATATTATTACAATAATATTCTTGTCTTCTTCTACAGGCAGAGCTCAAAGACATCAAGGTGCACATTTTTCCATACTGGACACTTACCAGGAAGCACATAAAGTCCAGTGCGAGGACAGTGGGAACCCCTCCGAAGGGCAGGCCCTGCAGCACGGTACTGCGGATCCGGGCTGAGTAGCAGTAGTCTTTGGAGGCATTGCTGTAACAGTTGGTCTGACTCATACAGGTCGGGTTCCCAAAACTCCACATCATCATGTCCAGATGTTTCACCTCAATCACTGCAACATCCTGATGAAGAACCTGAGGAGAAGATGAAACAGATAAGATTATTTATACTCATTCTAACTACACAAAAATCTAACATTCTAGATCCATGTTTTTTTTAAAGAAAACAAATGCTATATTTATACTTAAATAATAATAGTAATTATTGGTTGACTGATATATTACCGTAAATTGGCAGACATTTGACATTTTTAAATTATCAGTTGTGGCCGATAAGTGTCAAAAACAGCTTTATTTTTCTTTTTTTTTTTAAAGAAAAAAAAGATAGATTTATACTTAAATAATAATAGTAATTATTGGTTGACCAAATATATTACCATATAGGACTATCGGCCAATTTTTGAAATTTTTAAATTATTGGTATCGGCCAAAAAGTGTCAAAAACAGCTTTTATTTTGACAGCAATGAGACAATACTATTTTTTTAAGGAAAAATTATATTTATACTTGAATAATAATAATACTTATTGGTTGGCCGATATATTGCCATATATCAGCCGATATTTAAACATTTTTAATTATCGGTATCGGCCGATAAGTGTTAATAAATGCTTTAATTTTGACCGTGCTAAGAACAGCAATTCCTGAGTGCACATGCAAGCATAACCTTTAAATCCTTCATTTTGAACTATGCAAACTATTCATGTTTTAACTATTTCTTTGTAAAATTATCTATTTAATTTCAGATAAAAAATTTTTTTAAGAAAATATACTTTTTTTTTTTTAGGAAAATTTATATATTTATTATTAAATAATGCTAATTACTGGGTAACCAATATACTCCCAAGGCTAATATATGGGCCGATATTGAACAATAAATCATCGTTATCGCCGATGTGTGTCGGAGGCAACTTTTTGACAGCGACAGGAAGAGACTTTTATTTTGACAGTGCACCTGAGCGTAGATGTGGGGAGAGAGAGTGAGAGAGAGAGCGCGGTGAGGTCGGGCTGCAGCGGCACTGCGGTAGATTGTTCTGCTACACTGGCCTCAATTCTCCTTCAGCCACAGGAGCCGTTCCAAACACCTAGTGTGCTGCCTACATAGACAGCATCACAGACACACTCTACTGCAGTGCTCTTATTGCTGTATCATGTACATATAATGATGAAAAACAAATTTACTATATTATATTCTTTATTACTTATACTATGTGTGTGTGTACAGTTATTTAAACTAAATTTTACATTTATCCATTTTAGCAGATAAATCTAAATGCATCAAATTTATTAGCTTTTTAAATAAATTACATAAATATATAATCTAAACATTAATACAAAATTTAAACAAAGAAAATATATAAATAAAAATAATAAAATAAAATACACTAATAAAAATACATATGAAAATAAAAAGTAAAAATGTAAAATTAAATTAAATGCAAAAATATACATATTTCAATATTTGTAGTGCCAAATGTAAACTAAATCCACTGACTGTCTGAGTAAAAAATCGACTGCTTTTAAATGCTCATATGCAAATTTTCATCTAATTGTAATGCACTTGTGCACAGTCAAATGTTCCTAGTCAAAATATCCATCTTAGTAAGATATTAAATGCAAACAGTCGGTTTATTTTGCAATAAGAATGCGCCTAATGAACCTGCCACTTAATACTGAACAACAATATTGACAAGAATAAAAGAAAACCACCATGTTTACTTGAAGACTACATGATATTATTCATATAACTTTTTTTAAAAATGAGTTCAATAGGAGATAACAATATAATTGTTACATTTTTGTTTCTGATGTATAAGTTAAGTGCTTGTGGAAAACGTCAGTCTATAGTGCTGGTATATTGACATTTTTGGCTTTGTGAAAAGTTTTTAAAAAATCTGACAAGACGGAAAGCCTGTGTGAAACTGTGAATGTCCCCTCAGTAGGAAGCTGCCCATGTAGACTGACGCGTGTGGAACAGCACTAGTACAACTCTTCTGTCTCTGTTCTGAAGCAGCATCCCTCATGCATTCAGAACAATCATGCAGCTTGTAGAAATGCAATCAAGTAGCTCGCAAAATAATCACAGACACAGAGATACTGAACCAAATATGAGGCCAAGCACAGCACAGACACCTAATAATGGAGTTTCAGCACAGCTATAGTGAAGAAACAGACAACCTGTTGAGCTCAGACATTGCTCAGGTAATCTAAAGATGCAAGAGAACGTCCTGACAGAAAGTCAAAGCAGCCCGTCAGGCTGGTCCAATAACATCCTGAACGTCCGGGAAACCAAAAAGGTTCAACACTCACGGCTCATCATCTTTACAGCAAGACATGGTCATTAATATTCTCCATACATCAATGGAAAACAAACGGAGAAAAACTGTGAGTGAAACTAACGCTGTTCTCAATCCAGATGGCAGTGCAATCATTTCCATTCATTCAAAAGCATCACAAATTATGAATATCACGATTCATATTCCATAAGCAATACAGCTCAATGAGATTCCAAAAATAAGAGACAGACGCTCTGAGGTTCTTAAATGCGTATCTTTAACTACACATGATTGCATAAGACTTGAGAGAGTTAATTACAGACCGGTTGTGCAGGTACGAGTCAGATAGGACTGAAAATGATGACGATCAGCTGGTAATTCAATAACATCTCCAAATGATTCAGCGAGTCATTCGACTGATTCAGACTGATCATTCAGTTCTAGGCTGAATGAATCAAACAACACGGGTCACGCTGAGTGTTTGCTGTTGCATTCAGTATAACGATATCTATCTTCGATCTTAATATAAAGAGATGTTGTCTATTTATAGCTTTTGCATTATAAAAGCTAACGAAGCCAAATGTAAAAACCATTCAGTTCTGAAAAAAATTAAAATAAAATAACAAAAAATACATAAAAATAAAACCGAATAATAAATACAATTTAAAAGAAAATTATAAAATATTTTTAAAAATCCTCCAAATATTTGATTCTTAAAAATTAGTCAGTTCTGATAAAACAAACCAAAAATGAAATACAAATAAAAACATGTCAAAATAGAAAAAAAAAAAAAAATCTGGTTCCAGCATTTAATTTTGTTTAATGGTACCGTTTTAAAACTGTAAAACCAAGATCAGCCAATGGGAGATGTCACCGTTACCATGGAAACAGGAAAAGGGCTGTTTTCAGTTTTGTAGGCAGAGGCTAGATGTACTCATCCGACTCCATCATCATAATCATCATCTTCACCTTGTTCAATCTTTTTGCTGGGAAATCAGATGTTGTAACGTCGTGATTCATCCCTGAGCTGATCAGTTTGGTTCAAAGCTTTGAAAACTTGATTGAAAATAACAGTTTACTCAAAAATAAATACTCACACTGACTTTCCTTCTCCCTCAGAGCACAAAAGGAAGTAATCTGAAGGCTTTTCATGCACTTACAATGAACTGGGACTGAAGCGTTTCACGCTCTTCAAAATTCTCATTTATGTTCAGTGGAGGGACAAGAGTGAGAGTAAATGATGACTTCTCTGAAAAACTCAAGAAAAGTTGTTGAATCAGGTTAAACCAGATCAGGTCTTCATAGGGAATCCCGATATCCATGCATCTTTATCCTGTTAACAATAACCTGTCAAGATGCTTTTTGGCAGCCAGCATGGTCTGAGGAGCCCGTCAGAAAAGCTTTGATTCCAGTGGGTCTCATCCAGAGTTCAGCTGGATTTTCTGCATGCGTTTAGCCGAGATGTGATTGCTCTGAATTCAGTGTGTTGAAAAACAGCCAAGAGCACGGCATTAAATATAAAGGCAGCGTTGGTGTGTGGCGTTCCCTTAAGAATACAGCCCAAGCTTGGCTGCACTTCTTTATTCATACTCTTTTTATGTTTATTTATTTACGTTGAACACACTAACCTACTTAGTTATAAAAAGCAAAAGGATGTTTCTATTTTCTCCCAATTTTGTGCCAAAAAGAGGAACAGGGGAACGAGAGAGGAGTTTGGAATAAGAAAAATTACAGTCTCATAATCCAGATCTGAATTTGGTATTTTTACCACTGAAAAAAGGACAAAAACACATAATACATGTATAATGCATCAAGTATGACTTAACTGACTTAAAATCAATAAAGCATTGAATTTTCCTGCATCTTTGGTTGACACATAAAAGGGAGGGAGGGAAAAAAGTCAAGTTATCAAGCGGCGTAACAGGTTAATGATGTAATTGTGTTTTCCAGTCCAGCACATTTGAAGATTACATTATTTTAATTGTGTTTCATACCCTATATTATTAATACTGGTCTTAACATCCTCTATGAAGTTTAATCAGAGTCGTGAATAACTTGACCTGAACACTAACAAAGAGTTTGTAGTCCGTTATATGATCTCGAATTCAATCTGTTTGAACTATCCATGAAAAACAAAGGGGGAGAAGGAAGAGAAGATGAAGACGACGACAAAGAACAATTAGAAGGAGAAAACCATGAAAAGAACAACAACAACAAGAAAAAGGAGGAGGAAACAAAAGGATGGAGGAGGAGAAGAACAGGAATAACGACAAACATGAACAAAAACATTAAGGAGAAGAACAATGAGAAAAGGGAGAAGGAGGAGGAGGACAAAGAGAAGGAGAAGAACAACAACAAACAAGAACATCGAAAAGAACAACATGAAGACCAACAATGAGAAGAACATTGAGAAGAACAGCAACAGGAAGAAAAACGAGAAGAACAAGGAGGAGGAGAATGACGAGAAGAGCAAGAACATCAAGAAGAACAATGCAAAGAGGGAGAAGAAAGAAGAATGAGAGGAGCCACAAGGAGAAAGACGAGGAGAAGATCAACGAGAAAAAGGAGAAGAACAACAACAATCAGAAAACAGGAGGATAAACTAAGAAAAATAAGAACAATGAAAAGGAAAAGAACAACAATGAGAAAGAAGATGAAGAACAAGAAGGAGAAGGAGAAAGAGGGAGAACAATGAGAAGAGAAAGAAAGAAAGCAAGAAAGAAAATGAGAAGGAGATCGGTGGAGTTGAGGAGATCAGTGAGGAGGAGCAGAAGAAAAGGAGAATAAGAACAAAGAGAAG